TTCCTTTGATGGCATTACTTATTCGACGTCCCTTTTGGTCAGGGATGTTTAAATTTTAAAGCATCTGCTTCCCTTAATAACTGTTAACATTAATATGTAAGGATAGTAATGATCTTACTGTTCGTCGTCGTATGCAATATTGTTAAATAAGAAAATAAGTTTAATGTTTATTTTATAAAAGTTCGCTTTACATCAATTTTTCGTCGTGTAGCATTTTAGTTTAATTTAATATAAAATAACATCGTTAACTTCAAGATGAATGATCGGTAAAAAAAACCGCTCACGATTTGTCGGCAATCGATCGCCAATTTAAATATCCATAATATTGTAAGTAATTCAAACAGTTGCATTAGAGGCAGTCTTTTCTTTATGCTTATAATTAAGTCCAATTAAACATTTTAAAATTAAAATTTTAATTTTTTATAGTATTTATTTAATATTTATATTTGTTTGATTTTTTTTAAAACTTACTGAATTTATTAATTATTAAAAAAAAATACTTTTGCAATAAGCGTTGCATTATAAAGTTGAAAACACAGCTGGTATCTTCCGTTTGCTGGTTGCCAAGCTTTACTGTTGTCTATTTTCTGTACAAATAGTTACAACCAATTTCTTATGTTTGATCTATTGAAACAGTAATCATGAGGATACGCTTCAAAAAACGATACATGTATGCAACAATGAAGTGCTGTTTTAAACGAGTAAATTCTCAAACATAAAGTTTGAGGAATAAACCTTTAGAACAAAAAAAATTTTTAAGCTCATTCATTTTGAACACAACGATCATGACCTTTAACAATTCTTGAATTACTTTTATTTATGGTGTTAGACCTGGAATTGTACTGAAACCAAGCTAACAAACAAAATAACTTAATATCATGATTATCTCGAAGGCCTTTCCTAAGAGAAATAAACGATTAACAATTTATTATCACGATTCACTTGTGTAGTTGATTATTACGATCAATCCTATAGTAACTTTATTATTCTGTAGAGTTATAAGTCTAATCTCAAGACTTATCTCAAACTCTGTCAACTTATAGGTCTATTTATATAAAATTGTTAACTAGTACTATACTACGATTTTTGATAATAATAAATGATATATGTATTAGAAAACTATATAATATAAATATAAGTGATGAAAAGTAGACTATAATAAAAAATATACAAGTGATCCAAGTGTCGCATGTGTCATATGTGTTACATGTTTAAATGATTTCGCCGAGTGTGAGATCATTAGAGGCGCAGTACAATTTGCGACTAACAACGGTTATAACGACATTGCACAACTGACGATAATAATGGGACATTCGTTGTTTCAAAATTATTTTTCATGGAACAAAGGGAGCTATTACCGATACTTTCTGTATGTTGAACAAAGACTCTACAAGCAAGATTCTAATATTCGTTATGCATTCTTAAAGTTATTGATTTAAATTGCTAGGAACTGTTTACCGATTACATTAATCTATAATGTAAGCTAAGTTTAAAATCGAAATGAAATTTCTTCTGAACGTTTCAGAAGTTATTTCATCAAAGGTAACAAGGTAAGGAAATTTGTTGGGATGTTAAATAATTATACAACACGTAAATTCTGTCAAATCTTCTATGGCGATAGAATAATAGAGAATTTTGTGTTCCCAAAATTATAAATAATATTGGATAAATGGAAATCTATTTTCATGGAAGATCCAATTTTAAGAAAATTAAAAATATATAACTATTTGATTATTATTACTAGGTTTTTTTTTTAATTTTTCGTTGAAAATTTCAATATGACCTCTTGACAATCGACTGAATTTAAAGGTTGGAACCGACGAAAAATTCTTTAACCGGTTAATAACCGGTTAAAAAATTCGTTAACCGGTTAATTAACCGGTTAAAATTAACTTAGGCCAGTACCATAAATTTGGCCGGAGTTAGACAACATTTTTTGCAATCATAAAATTCTTAATGCTGGCCGGAAATTGAATATCGACCGGAGTTAAATTCGTCCATTTTAACCGGTTAAAAAATATATCTTTAGCCGGTTATCATGTTAACCGTTCTAACCGGTTAATTAACCGGTTCAAAATTAACTGGTTCCAACCTCTAGACTGAATCATGTTCCTTGTGCATTATGTAATCCGATCAAGAAAAATATATTAATGATATCCTTCGACGGTAGTTAAAAGTAGTTCGTGTAATTAATTTTTTCACAAAAAGTGCTTATTACAAGTTATATTAATTTAATTTAATCATAACTGGTTTTAATATAAAGATAGACGTGATTATAAAATGGTTTTATATGTACTGTTTATATACAGGATGATTATAAACAGGTTCTTCTCCTTCACACTCTTTAGGTTTAATTTATAATTTAGTATGTTGTAATTGTATAGTTTTAATGAGGGAGTACTTTGACTAGTTGATTTTTATTAAATAATCTTATGTTTACCATTCCTTTGTTTATAAATATAAATGATAGTAACTATAGTCTTTGCAAAAGATTGATTATAAGTACGATTTTGATAATTAGTGCGATATTCGAATTTTTTGCTTTAAATTTCTTTTTCGACGTCGAGACGCGTGACCAATAAGAAAGAATCGTATCTGTACGGTAATGGCGAATTTTACGAAATAAGTCTTTACCGTCGAATTAGATCAAATACTCTATAATAGTGATATTATCATGAATTAATATAATAAAAAGAATTAGTATTTGGTTAAATATATGTGTTATGTCAAAGATTTAAATGCAAATTTTGACTTGTTCAAGCAATCTTGTTTTTAATTCTTGATGATTTTGAAATTAATATTCACTTAAACAATCATAAAGTAAAAAATATTTTTTTAATGCTAAGTAAATTAAAATTTTGAGCGTTATGTTAAATTTATACTAGTAGAGCATGTTGATAAATTTAAAAATTATTTGATGAAAATCCGACTCTTGGAACCGGTCCGTAGTCGGATCCGGTTTTTTAATTTGGTTAAAAATGGTGGCAAACAAGAATATGTATATATATGATTTGTTACAAATGCAGGTAGAATTGCCGATCTCCGCAATACGTAACCACTTTTCATTCTCTAGAACCATTGGTTGCGAATTAAATTTTTCTAAAAAAATGTCCTAATTGACTGTTCATTCGTTTGGGTGACAATTAATTTGTCATTTGGAGAAATTTCCGAAAACATTCTTAAATTTTTGCTCAGAAGATTTTTTATTAACGCATCTATAAAGAATAATAATAATAAATAAAAAAAATAATTATAATTATAATTATAATAAGTTATCTCTTGTTATGCTATTTGCGAAGTTTTTTTATATTTAGTCTATTTATCAATCCTCATCCCCAATGTAATTTTTTTTTAAGTATCGATAAATAGCCTATATACATCTCCAGAAATCAAAAATTTTATCTATTCAGCAAATTTTATTATTAGTGGTCAATTGAATCTCATAAAAAATACTGGTAAAAAAAAATTACCAGGAAACATCCTAAAATGTCCGATCAATAACAAAAAACGCCACAATAATACAAGAACTGATATGCGCGATGCATGCATGTGATGTACATAGCACAATGTGCAAAGATAAACATTATTTCGGTACGGAGAAATAGTTCCGAAATTTAGATATAAAGAGTTCGAAAAATCTTTGTTTCTTAATTTTCCGTAAAACCAGAGAGAGAATTCACCTTATATAATAAAACAGATTTTTTACATTTAAAAAACATTCATGACAAAAACTGAAACAAAACATTTCTTAATGAATGCATTACTCATTCTACTCAATCAGCTGAAGATATTTTTAACTGGCTTAAAGAAAATCAAAATGAATCAAAAAATGTTTTCTTTATTACAATATGCTCAACTTAGATGAAAATAATAGTGAAGGATTCATATATTTTTTAAAAGTAGCTGAAAGATATCCTAATGCACAAGTATACTTAAGTAGATGTTATATTGAAGGATTTGGTATTGAAATCAATAAAGATTTAGCATTTAGTTAAATGCAAAAAAGCTGAAGAAAATAAAAATATTAATGCAATGTTTCATTTAGCTTTTGGCTATAAAAATGGTGAAGGAACAGATGTAAATTTAATAAAAACATTATATTGGTATCAAAAAGCTGCAGAAATTGGATATATTGATGCAATATTTAATTTAATATTATACTATATATATAGCAAAAAAACAGATGTAAATTTAGAAATGGCATTTTATTGGTATCAACTAGGAATACGGACAAAATAATATAACAAAATTGACTGACTTGTCCGAAGAAATTGGACTTGAGGATATTTATTTCCCAAATTTCCAACGTTAATAATGTAATCTCTCAGTTTATCGTTGCGAATATTGACCTGATTTTCATGATGCGATCATACATATTTGATTCAAATTCGGTTTTTTGATCGTGTATGGCAAGCTCCTATATCGTTAAACCAGGTCCTCTACAAATAAAACCGTTACTTCGTGTAAAAAATCCGTCAAACTTTTTACACCGTCAATATCACCAATCAATTCATTCCCAAAAGAAATTAATTAGAAATTGCAAGAACAAAAAATTATAAAATTCATCCAAAGACTTTAATTAGAAGAATATTACAAAAATGAAGAAGATATTTTATAAATCATTGAAATCATTCACGATAAAAAATATATTTTTGCACAATTCATATGCACAAGTATAGCAATTAATATAATATAATCAATATAAGCGAATACAAATTAAAGCCTAGCTATAGAAAACTATTCATCCCTATATAAAATTTCACTAACTGATTTGTTATTAGCGTTCGTTCATTTCACATATAAAGCCATCGAAGAAAAATAATTCATTCGTCGTATACTTGTTGTAGTTGATCGAAGACGTTATCCTATTTAAAAAATATGTAGGGTTTCATATAGGGTTTGAAATGAGGAATTCTGTTTAGTACATCGTAACCGATTAGACCACATGTGATATCAGCTGGGGAATTGGGTGCCCATGAGTAAATCTCTTTAGTTTTGATTCAGTCGGACCAGTTAGTTCCATCGCCAATGCATATCAACCAAGGTCTTGAAACTTGAGTGATCCTTGTACACTTCCAACCTTCAACGCTACTATGCAATCGTTGTCTCATTCTGAAGTTATTTTCCACATTTGACACTTTAACTTCACCTCTTGCATTTTACTGAGTTTCGAAGGGCAAATACTCACCTAATGTACTCCCCAAAGGTGTCAATAGGGCATTAACAGATATCATTTCAATATCTGTCAATGACCATTTATGTAAATAAATTGAATCACAAACCTGCCATTCTTTGCGATTAACATCGTCAATATTTTCGCACCATAACAAATCTTTTAATA